GGGGCCGACTTGACGGCACACAACAACAACAAAACATAATTGAGATTATGCTGTATATGCATACCACACAACCCTCTCATATGTTAGTTTCCTATGAGTGCTATGCATGTTATACATGTGTGCATGTTATTTGTGTGGGTATATTATATGTGGGGGAAAAAATGTTCGTTAGAACAGAACCACATTGTAATTTGGAGACTACCTGTAATAATACTCAGGATTATATTGTGTCAGGCTTCTTTGTGGAATGGCTGGTCTACCCCTAAAATAGGGACTGGCTACCTGAGGCTTGGAGTCTTTGGGTGGTGTGAACAGTTAACAAACTCCACTGTTAACCAAAAGTTTGGAGTTTAACCAGCGGCACCTTAGAGGAAAAGGCCTGGTGATCTACTTCTGAAAAAATCAGCCATTAAAACATCTATAAAGCACAGTTCTGCTCTGACACTTGGGGTTGCCATGAGTGAGAATCTACTCATTGGCATATGGTTGCTAGTGCCCTGAGACTTGGCTTTGTATTCGCAATGGCAATGCTATCGCACAGCTACCTGCAATGAAACAGTGGTGGAAGCATGACTGAATTGCAGTTGATTTAGTTGTCCATAATGTGTTTTACCTGATGACAATTATTATTAATGATTGGTTATTATAATTAATAATAACATAATGGCCACTTAATTATTATACCAGCTAACATATATTGCCAGACTCTTTCTTAGCCCATTCCATATGGTATCTCATTTAATTCTAAGAGTAGCTCAATAAAATAGATACTAGTGTTACCTTCATTTTATAGATGAGGTAGCTGAGATGCAGACAGGTTAAGTAACTTGCCTGACATCACACAGCTAATAAATGTTGAAGGGAGTATTGGAACCTGGCTGTGTGACTCCAGAGCACATGATCTTACTCCTTATTCTTTTTTTCATGAAGAAAAATTTTAGCCATTCTTCCCACCTCTTAATGTAAATATACTGCTCTAGCTGTAATAAACAAATGCCGGGATTGAGCTATTATAATTCGTAACCATCTTAGTTTACCTGGCATATATTTGTTGTTGTTGTTGTTGTTACGTGCCATCGAGTTGGCATATATTTAAGATAATATAAAAAAGTATTATGTGGAAATAGCTTTAGAAAAGTAATTCAGAAAGTTTCTGAATATAGAAGATCAGAGACATGCAGGGTACAAAATGTTCACCCTCTATGGCTTTCAGCTGTTTCCATTTGCACTCTAAGTCAAGGAGAACTTGAGTAACAAATTATTTTCCAAGAGAAGAGTTCTGAAAATCATGTTTTCTCTGTGCTTGCAGACAATGTCAACAAGTGCAGACTGATTATTGTATTATTTAGTAAATTTCTTCAGAGGACTGGGATAGAAAATCTGTAAGAAATGCATCACTGTTAGTTTCCAGATATTACACATGTCCCCAGGGGTTCATTTGCATACAGTTTTCCCACTGGTCTGTGCTTTAAATGTGTTCTTATTGTTGTTTCATATGTGAAAATGATTAAAACAGGCAAAATCCACACAAACGATATTTCTTCGTCAACAGAGCAGAAACCAGTCCATTTGTGTTACTGTGTTCGTGTAGAACCATTAATTAAGATCTAAGATCCATAAGGAGCCCTGGTGATGCAGTGGTTAAGCACTCAGCTCCCAACCAAAAAGTTGGTGTTCAAACTTACCAGTCACTTCATGGGAGAAAGATGGTGGCAGTCTGCTTCTGTAAAGATTAAAGCCTTGGAAATCCCATGGGGCAGTTCTACTCTGTCCTATGGGATCACTATGAATTGGAATCGACTCCATGGCAATGGATTTGGGTGTTTTTGGGTTTTTTTAGGTTTTTTTTTTTTTTTTTTTCGCGTTTCCTGTTATTCAAGCATAAAGTTTATCAGAGACCCTGAAGAACTAATTAAAACAAGAATATGTTTATTTTGTGTGTGTGTGTCATTGATTGCAGGCTAAAGGTAAAGAAAGACATTGGCTACGACACCAAGCTACTGGGGAACTAGATGATGCCAAGATCATTGATGGGCTGACTGGAGAAAAAGCCATCTACAAACGCCGGGGTGATGTGCAGCCACAGGTAAGTCACTGTAAACCTTAGGTCTGCATCATGCCACCTGTACAGAAACCTTCTCTCTTGAGTTGCTGTTTCTCTAAAAATACCATAAACCCTGAATATTGCAACCAAGGAAAGCATTATAGAAAAAAAATTAGGGGGTGAAAAAAGCATAAATATGATACTATTTATTGTATGCGACAGGGTCCCAGCAAGAAACACATGGCACGCTCAAATTGGGTAATCTGAGGAGCAGTTAATATTTACAGTAAGTGTGGTGTTTGAAAAACCAAAAAGAGACTGCAGTTTCCCAGGGCTGGCAACTGGCAACGCCAGGAATCCAGTCACTCCTAGGCCTAAGAAGAGCTGTTACAGGAACCTGGAGAAAGTAGTTTATGCAGATGGCCACCTGGCTGGATCTCAGGGCTTCAGTAGAAGGAGAGCCAACCCATGGGCAACAACAGAGAAGGCTGGCTGAGCAGAGGGAACAAATATCCCAACCTCACCCTCTGATCTCCAGCCAGTGCTGCCCATGAACAGAACCCACTGGAAGCCAGCATCCAAGAGAGCAGTTGGCACTGTCGGTACAGACCAACCTCCCAGAACACAGAGCAGGGAACCCTGGGCAAGAAATGAAGGCATCCAGCCGGTCTGGTTTTATTGATCCCACAGGGTTACTCAAGTGAAAACGCTAGAGCATCTCAGTGGTTTTCTATGGCTCCGTTATGCTGAAGATCTTTGTCAGTCATACAACTGACGAACAAGATTTTGGACAAGAAGGAGCTCTCCTTGAATTCCTCTGATTCATTCTAACTCTATTCTAGTATGTAAAGTTTTAGGTAGCCATGATTTTCAAATATTTTTCAGTGTAATGGCCCCCCAAAAATGGAAATAAGGTAAAATATTTAGTCTTCTAGAGAACTGCTGAGTAGCCACTGAGAGCTGGAGGTGCAGTGGCTGGGGGAAGGGGAGTCATTTATCCCATTTTAATGTTTATTCAGAGATAGTCTGTTGGTAATTTGGGAAGTTCTCATTTCTGTGTCACTGGAATGAGTCAACAAATGCTTTCTTTACTGACTCATTGTGGTCAACAGTGTATTTAGATCCATCTGAAATTGTAAGTAGTCATGGAAGTGTATGTGGCGCTATTCTTAATTTAGGGAAACTCAACAAGTTTTTAAGAAATATATTGAATTTGTCTCAAATCATTGTACAGTAATATCCACAGTGTTTTCTTGACATTACTCACTCTGCTTATTAGTTTTCATACATGTCAACAAGTACATAATAACAAAATAATCTGGAAATTTTCTTTTTCTTCTTCTTTAAAAAAAAAGAGAGTTTTCTTTAAATTCTTTGAGTTTGCATACAAATTGGTAGATATGAATCCAAAATCAAACTGCATGTCATGAGAGTTTCACTTTGTAATTGGCAGTTGTTGCTGGACAGATACCGCTGTCGTGCCTTTAACTGCCAAGAAAAAAAAGTAAAGTAGTAGTTCAGTAGCTGGAAGAGAAAATCAAAAGCTTACTAAAGACATTTTAAAAACATTTTCCTTAAGTTCTTTGCCAGACTCCCTCTGGCATGACCTTGTTTTGGAAATCTGACATTTCTTGTGGCCTGTATGCCACTGTATAACAGGTAAGGAGCCTTCATGGTACAACGGTTAAGCTCTCGGCTGCTAACTGAAAGGTCAGTGGTTCAAATCCACCAGTGACTCTGAGGGAGAAAGACATGGCAATCTGCACCTATAAAGATTACAGCCAAGAAAACCCTATGGGGCCCAGTTCATTGACCTAGTAATATATTTAGTGCTTCTGTTCTACCTCCTAGTTTGTTGCATAGTGCCCGGGGTTTTAAAAGCTTGCAAGTGGACACCCAAAGGGCAATTGATCTCTATTCACCTAGAACAACAGAGGAAAAAGGAGAGTCAGGAATAGGAGGAGGATATAGAATGTGTGGCTAATTGCCTCCATGGACAACTGCCTCCTCTGCCATGAGACCAGCTGGTCCCTAGCTACCGTTATTGAACATTTTCATCAAAGATTCCTAGAAAAATACTCATCAAAAGGGGGGAAACGCAGAGAATTTCAAATTCTCATGGCCTTTCTGGAGCTATGTAGGTGAGCCTCTGGAACTATTGCTCTGAGATAATCTTTAAACCTTGAACCAAAAATATCCCTTGAAGTCATCTTAGATCCAAACAATAGTTTAGCTTCACTAGTAAAAAAACAGAAAAAAGAAAAGTCTGCCCTGAGCATTATGCTCTTTTAAGAACTAACTGTGTGGGATCAAATTGACAACAGCAACTTGAAACATTAGACAGGAACCTTAGGGGTCAGGGAGTTAATGTTAATGAAGGAGGAACAACTCAGAAAAGGAGGAAGAGAATGGTTGCACAACTCGAAGAATATAATCAGTGTCACTAACTTGTGAATCAGTGTCACTAACTTGTGGATGAGGAGCTCTGGTAGCGTAGTGCCTAAGGCACTTGACTGCTAACCAGAAGGCTGGCTGTTCAAATCCGCCAGCCACTCCTAAGAAATCTACTTCCGTAGTGATACCACCTTGGAAGCCCAAGGAGGGGTCGCTATGAGACTCCACGGCACATAACAACAACTTGTGGATGTAGAAACTGTTGAACTGGTGTATGTTTTACTGTGTGTATTCTCAACAAGAACAAAATAAATAAAATGTAAAGGGAAAAAAAAAAGCCTAGAAGGCAGTTCTACTCTGTCACATGGGTCATTATTAGTCAAAATTGTTTTGAAACTTAACAACACACAATAAACAAACACAAACAAACTCACTGCCATTGAGTTGATTCTGGCTCATAGTGACCCCCCCCACACACTGGGTTTCCAAGGCTGTAAATCTTCATGGAAGCAAACTGCCTAATTTTTCTTCCATGGCACAACTGGTGGATTCTAATCACCAAAGTTTTGGTTAGCAGCCAAATGCTTTAACTGCTACACCACCAGAGCTCATTAACAACACACAATAGGTACATGTAAAAGCAATACAGATTTCTCCCCCTAAAATAATGCAAACTCTTGCTGGAGTCATTGACTCTAAATGACAAGTTGAGGAGTTATGTCTTTTCAGATTATTATTTTTAAGAAGGCATCAACCTTTGAAGGTAACTTTACTGGGCTAGGTTGGACTCCTTTGAGAGGACCATGTGCCAAGGGCAGATCTGTCACATATGGCCCTGACTGCCAGCAGAAATCTGAGTTCTACTTACTGAAATAAAATCCATAGACAGCTTTCCACCTGCCACAGTAGCGTTGTGCAGTGCCGAGCCTCCAGCTGATCCGCCTGCCTGGTGGCTGCACTCTTGGGCCTGTGTGGATCCTCAGAGCAGCAGCCAGCAATGCTCTCCTAGTTCACAGCCTTTTCTGTTCCTTCCCTCAGCTGGGCAGCCCTCAACAGAAACCCAAACGTCTGTGCCTGGTGGTGGATGTGTCTGGCAGCATGTACCGCTTTAACGGGGTGGATGGCCGGCTCGAACGCTCGATGGAGGCCGTTTGTATGGTCATGGAAGCCTTTGAGAATTATGAGGAGAAGTTCAAGGTAACAACCTGAACTAAGGATGATGATGAAAGGGTCATTGTCCACAGCTGCCCAAGAGTCAGCTCGGAGTTAGGCGATGACATATGGGTGAGTGCAGGGCTCTCCCAGAGTGGACAAGAATCCCCATCTGCTCATCAGCTCATTGCTCAGTGTAGAGCTTCTGCTTCATCTGCTCTGTGAATTAGAAAATGATAGTGCCAAGATTTAAAGCCTAAGTTATTACTGAAGGAAGCACCATACATCACAGTTTTGTGAGCAATTAGAGTCCCAGCCATAGCGTTGGAAAATAAGTAGCCACTTAGGCTCATGACAAGTCTGTTCTCAGGTTACTCAGTGCCTCCTGTCCTCACCCTAGCTCCCTCACCCAACCCTCTCGCCTCATCGCCAGCCAAGCAGCCTCCATTCCTCATGAGGGTTTGAAACACACAGTTTGAGGGTTTGAGTCAGAGCACACTGTTCTGGGCATTGCATAACTTTGCCACATGGGCAAAGATCACACAGTGATAGATGTCTCCCCAGCTGACAGTGATGTTGATTGCCCTGGGAGAAAGGCAGCCTGTCCTTTAAACCGTTTCCATTTTACTGTTGCTCAGTTGGCTGTACCCTCTCCATTTCGGAGGTCTAACCGTGGACAAGGGATCCCCCCACCCCAGTTCTGCTGCATCACTGCCCAAACCAAACACCAAACCTGTTGTTGTGGAGTTGATTCCAGCTCACAGCAACCTCATGTTTTACAGAGTACAACTGTTCCATAGTATTTTCTTGCCTGTAATCTTTACAGAAGTAGATTGCCAGGCCTTTCTTCCATGGGATCACCAAGTGTGCTTGAACCTCCAACCCCTAGCCCAAAAAGAAACTAAACCTACTGCCTTCGAGTTGATTCTAATTTATAGCAACCCCCATAGGGATTCCAAGGCTGTAAATCTTTACGTAAATAGATTTCCCCATCTTCTTCCTGTGGAGTGGCTAGTGGGTTTGAACTGCTGACCTTCTGGTAAATGCCTTACCCACCATGCCACCTGAGCTCCTGCTGCCCAATGTGGATCCATAAATTCACTCTTTATCAGATGTACAGAGTACCGGCACTTCTAGTCCCAGTGAAATATCCTTTACCACAATCACCAGCTGTATAATGATTATAAAACATATTTGTGGAGACATGCTTAAAGGATACACATAGATATTCTAAACTTTATTCTGGGTCAGATATGTCCATCAGAAATAGGCAATCTTAGATCATCTTAGCTTGACATCCCACCTGTGTACTAGGAGTACTTTCCTGAATTATGTCTCTGTGTTGTGATGGATACAGCAAAAGACAGACTGAGGGAACCCAGCACTTCATTAACATTAGGCCTGTTATTAAGAATCCTGCCCCCTAAATCTCCCAGGGTCCCTCATCTTAAGTTCCGTAAGATAAATTTCTTTGAAAATTGGTGTTATTAGTTGTCTCCAATTCATGGTGACCCCACATATAATAGTTGCCCAGTCCTGCACCATCTTCATGACTGTTGGTATGTTTGAGTCCTTGTGTGTTGGTATGTTTAGCCACTGTGTCAATTCAAGGTCCCTCTTGCCTTTGCTAGCCCTCTAGTTTATCACACATGATGTCCTTCTCCAGCAATGGGTCCCTCGTGATGATACAGCCAATGTAAGTGAGTCAGAGTTTCAGCCAATATTCTGTAATCAGCCAATATTCTGTAATCCATAGGGTTTTCATTGATGAATTTTTGGAAGTAGATTGCCAGGCCTTTCTTCCTAGCCTGCCTTAGTCTGAAAGACCCACTGAAACCTGTCCACCTGGGTGACCCTGCTGGTATTTGAAATATTGGTATAAAAATTCATGGAAACAATTAGTCCTAGTGACTGGTACACCAACCGATCTGCAGCCTATACAACTATGAGAACAGAAGAACTAGATGGTGCCCGGCTACCATTGTCATCCATGTGGAAGGGGATCTATGTAGGAGATCTTGATAGAGAGGGAAAACAATGTGGAACAAAACTCAAAATCATTTGGAGAAAAAAAAAAAGAAAAGGTGGAGACCAGGTTTGCTAATCCGATAGAGCCTGGTGGAACCACTGAGACTATGGCCCCTAGCTGCCCTTCAGGTCTAGAATTGAACCCACACCTGTGGTTTCCAGCCAAACAAAAGACAGGCATATGAGTTGAACATTTACCTGAGGTAGATACACTCCTTGGAGAGAACAATCATGGGAGAAAGAAGGGCTGCTTATGCACAGGGAGACAGCTCAGGGGGCAGGAGTGTATGGAGGGATGGACACTGGGAGGAGGTAACTATGGGGAGGAAGTGGGAAAAGAACTGCAGCATGGTAAACTGTGGTCAATGTCATGAGACAAAGTGTATGTGAACTGCTGTATGAAAAAAGAAATATTGGTATAGCTTGCAACATCACAGCAACACATAAACTCCCACAGTACAACAAAGTAGTGGCTTTTAAAATAAACTGGTAAGAAAAGGGCATTTTAAGTCAATGAATGCTACGGGTTGCCAGATTTTGTCTAGGTACAGAGTACAAATAGGAATAAGATATGGACAACCACCATGGGAGTGGTTTCCTTTCCTTGAACCATGTAACTGTGTAACTTTGATTGCCAGGAAGGTGAAAGCCAAAATCAGAGATCAGCTTTGACAACTTTATCTTATGGTTTGCAGACACATGTTCAACTTTTTCCTTCCCTTGATTCTCCCTTCCTTCAGATGTAAGGTTTTTTTATTATTATTATTATGATTTCCTCCTTTTTTGTTTTATGGATTTGTTGAAAATATTTACAGTACAACCTGTGAAAGCTGAAACCTGTATAAGCCAGAAACCTGTCAGAGAAGGAAAACTCAAATATTTTCCACTAAAATGAAAAATAGAAGAGTAGTAAAAGTTAAAAGTGGAACATTTGCAAGACCCAAAAAAGCAAGGCAGTCTCATCCAGTTATGGCTCTCGTAGGTTTCACTGAATTTTAACATATTTTAGATCCTTTCTGGTACAAGATAGAGTGTAAGTCTCTTGGTCCATTGATGACCAATGGATGGTTAGACAATAGATCAGCATAAATACCACATCCCACCTAGTGTTTTAAAACCTTTGAGTTCTGAAAAAAAAAAAAAAAAAAAACCTTTGAGTTCTGAAGATATTTGGGTCAGCCCATCCACCTCTCTGGTGGGCCTTGAAGGCCAATGTTCCACTGTTCCATTTGAGTTAAAAGGAAATTTGAATCCATTGTAGATTATGGAAAATATAGTGTTCTAGTTACCTAGTGCTGCTCTGACAGGAATTATATCACAAATGGAATGGCCTTAACAGAAGTTTATTCTCGTACAGTTCAGGAGGCTAGAAGTCCGAGTTCAAAGTGCCAGGCTCTAGGGGCTGGGTGAAAGCCCCTGGACCTTGGGCTTCAGCTCTGCCTCTTGCTCCCAGTCCACTGAAGCTAGGGGCTTTTCTTCACTCAAACAGCTCCTGGCTGCTGAGGCTAACAAGTCCAAGATCAACTAATAAAATGGCACAGTCGTGAAGTTACCAAACCACATGGCAGGCCATTAATTCAAGTCTATTGTGAGTCCCAAGGTCGGCAGAGCATGGCAGGCTGCTAAACAATGACTCAGCTACATGCAGGATCCAAGCATGCCATAAGCTAGACACCATTCCCCAAAGCTTCTGCTTATATACAGGAAGCAGACCACATTCCCTAAGTCAGCTACTCAGCTGCTTGCAGTAGATTCCTCCATGGAGTTGATCACCAGCCTCATCATGGGGAATACTACATCCAGCTGCCCAGCCACTCAACCAGGCCCAGCCAAGTTGACACACAAGCTGAACTATCATATACAGGTAGGTAGATAGATAGATGCAGTCAAGTTGACTCTGACCTATGGTGATCTTAGTGTACCACACAACAAATGTCCTGTTCCATGTCATCCTCACAATTGCTAGCAAGTCCAAGTCCATCGCTGTGGCTGTTGTCCCAATCCATGTCATCAAGGATCCCCCTCACCCTTATTGGCCCTCTACTTCACAAATGTGATGTCCTCCTCCAGCAATTGATTCTTCCTGAAGACCTGTTGTCTTACTTCTCTAGTGCTGCTATAACAGGAATACTGCAAGTGGATGGCTTTAACAAACAGGAATTCATTCTCTTACCATTTAGGAGGCTAGAAGCCCAAATTCAGAGTGCCAGCTATAGGGGCTGGGTAAAGGTCCTTTGACTTTGGGCTTGAGCTCTGCTTCTTGTTGTAGGCCCACTGGAGCTAGAGGCTTCTTCAGACTCATGCAGCTACTGGCTGCTGAGGCTGATGAACCTCAGGTAAAAAGATCAGCAGGTAAAATGGCAGTCTCACAAGTAGCAGGCAACATGGCAGGCCACTGGTTCAAGTCCAAGAACAATCCCCAAATCAGAAGGCAGTACAGCCCAGAATGTGCCAAAAAGCTAGAGACCTTTCTCAAAGCTTCATCATAAATACTGGAAGCAGGCCACACCCCAAAGGCCATTCCTCTTCACCTAAGTGCTCACAGCAGATTCCACATGGAGGTGATTACAGTCTCATCATGGAGAATAACTTCATCCAGCTGCCAAACCACTCAAAAACCACAGACAAGCCAAGTTGACACACAAACCTTAACTACCACACCTGATGTCATTAATGTTCTCTGTGATCCATAAAGTTTTCATTGGCTCATTTCCAGAAGTCCATCGCCAAGCCTTTCTTACCAGCTTGTCTTAGTCTAGAAGCTCCACTGAAAGCTGTTCACCATGGGTGAACCCACTGGGCTTTGAAATACTAGTGGCAAAGCTTCCGGCATCACAACAACACTCAAGCCACCACTGTATAACAAGCTAACAGATGAGTGGTGATAGCAAACCATACCACTATTAGAGTCAACAGTCACAGCTATCTAGAATGAAATTTCCAGTTAAAAAGAGGATTGCTGCTTCTCTGAGAGCAGAACTGCTCTGATATTGAAGCTACTTCTTTCAGGTTTTTAA